TATGGGTAAACCGGTTTCCCAACACCATCAGTCCCAGACCATTGCTGAGGTGTTTGCGCTTCCGCGGTCAAGCAAGGGCCATCGATATTGGACAGCTGATACATGACCAGGCTGGCCACACCAAAAAACCTCCAAAAGCGCGGAGTTTAGATTGGTTTTAGATGTTTTAGGCGCCAAACATATGGTATTTATAAGATTTTATAAGCATCAAACACTGGTCAATCAGTCGACATTTGGATTTAATCTTCAGCACCGATGATGATTTCCACCTGCAGGGATTGAACTACGGTATATTCATGTAAACAGATTTAATCATCTGAAAAACATTTGATTTAGAAAATATCGGGTTTGACTTCACCAAGAGTTTCATTTTGTGACACAGGTGAATCCAAGACCGAGATTCATTGCGATTTAAGCACCAGGTTGCTGTTTGAAGTATTTTGCAAATGTAACAAGCAAATTTTCGTTCATCTTCACCAGTAAAGAGACAATAACCCTGTGAATTTGAATGGGAAAACGAGTTCCAGAGGTGAACCAACTGGTGCGATATCCAAATCTCTGGCGGATGGTGATCCTGCTGGGCGGCTTGAGACAAACACCCGAAGCTGCCCCAGCCCCAAAAAGTATTAATTATATGTAAATAAATAAACATATGTGTATGTGTGTATATATATATTAACATACATATACAGTATCTAAATAATGTGAGACAACAACCTCATCAAACTGCAGCTCCAGTTTATTAGCGAGATGCTTTCGGTGTCAGGAGTGGCTGATCAGAAACCAGGGGAAGTTCCAGACCTACATGGAGCTGGAACTGGGCAAATTGAAGAAACAGTTGGTGGCCCTGACACTTGGCCAAGGCCAAACATCAACAATTCTTGTAGAAAAGGAAAAAAGGAAAAAAGGGGGACTGCGATGGTTGTTTGTATCCTACCTGGCCTGTTGATTGGCTCAACTCAAATTCCACAGAAAACATGCTGATGTCGATGCATTTTCCTCTGCCCACCATGGTGGCCCAGGAACACCATGTTGGTGGGCCTTCCCTTGCGCCCTTCTCCACCCATGAGCAGAGACAGGGAGAGGGAGGAGGGCGAAGTCCCTGTGAGCCCCCTCGGCAGTGTCAGGCTCCGAAACCGAATCTCTAGCGACGAGCGGACGCCCGCAGATCCAGTGAATGCCCCAGTGAGTGTGCCGAGCACCAGGGTGCAGCTTGACACCTAAGGATTGGTGCAGTTTGGCACTAGATTCACCTGGATGGAGATGGTATTAGTTGAGATTTTGAGATCAGAGTCAGAGACCATGAGATTTGGCAAAGTAAATCGAGATGATTTCAGTGTTTTTTCATGTGCAAAATCCATTTGTGACTTTGGTAGCCTTGAGTCCAAAGCTGGTTTGCTCATCCAACATCCATTTGACACCCGTCACAGTCTTTTCCGTAGGATTTCTGCACGGCTCATACCATCTGGAATCAGATGGCAGCCATGCTTGCAAAGACTCCGCTAACTCTACATGCGCAAGCCCTGGATGGGGTCGTGCACACACATTGATCGAGGGACAGCCATATACAGCCATGCGGTACTGTAAGTGGTAAACTCAATGAGTAATATGAGTAACAATTTTTAAAAATTTCAGGGTGTCCGAATCCCTAAGTGATAAAATTCAGTGTGGGTCACTGCCACATCTGCCACATCTGCCACGGTGAGAGCCTCCTCACCTGCAGTGTGGCTTCGCTCAGAGTTGGTCAAGGGAGCTGAACCGACACGCTAAAAAGCTGCCTTTCCGACTCTGAAAAAAATCTCAAACTTTCCCAGAAAAAATCACCCACATCTCATCGTCATCACACAGAGAGAGAGAGAGATATATATATATATACACAATACGCACAGAATATTATACAAGCCGTGGAAAGATGTGGAAAAAATCCATGGATGGCCTGGGGATGACCTAGTTTTGGGGACTTTTTAAATGGGTGGGTGATGGATGAAACTATGAAACGGTTCAGAACTAGTTTGCGAAAAGTATGGCCAGCAAAATCTGACTGATGTTGCTTTGTTCGTTTTATGCCAGGTGTGTTTGGAATGTCTCCAACAATATACCTAGCATTACCTACGGTAGTAACTTAGTTATGGCATGTCATAACCAGTTATACATGGGATATCCCCAAGGCAGAAAGTATGAATAGATTAGAGCCAAGGTGGGATTTGAAGCCATACAAGTGCTGAATACTGGCTGATTTCCTGAAGATTCATCCAATACAGTCAGTAATTATACGTGCTGAGGTGACTAGGATGGGCTCCAGCCAGTGAGCAATGCTTCCAAAGCTGAGCCGCTCCTTGAAACGAGCCACTCCTTGCGACGCAGCCCACAACTGACTCACTGGGCTATATCCCATAAATCTAACAATCTAACCCGGGTTGTTTCATAATGTGCTTCTTGTTACTTATTACTGTACCCATTGGTTGCAACTGAGATGACAGTGCTCCCAGCTGGACTTGAGATGAGGAAATCCACTTGACCGGAAAGGCAGCTCTGCTGACCTCGCTCGGCAGCAAACACCCAGCCCGGATCGGTGAGACATGCCCGGTTGATTGGTTACCATATGTTACCATGGTTACTTTTTCAACAAAAAGATTGTGGATTTACCAAGCATTGATGCGTTGATATGAATGGATATAAATGGATCAAGTCACCTGATGATTAATGGTTTGTGGTTTCGAAGGTTCTGGTTCCAACAAAAGTGGGGATGAAACCAAGAATCGTGTGGATGTGATGTGATGGGGTATTGGTGAGAGTATGGTTGAGGGTCACTTTGAAACACTAAATTCTGGGAAAACTTGCCTGGGACGCTGTTCACCCTCCGGTAATCAACCATGGCAACTGGACATCCCCAAACTAAATGGAGGTTCATGAGGGTCAGAATCAATGTGTCCATGTCCATGGTTTGAAATATAGCTATAATGAAGCCATACACTAACTCATGGGACGACCATATCTATATATTATCTATATAATTCTACATATATATATATATATATATATACATATAGAATTATTTGCATATTAGCCATCTATATTTGTATACGTATATAAATAAATAAATATATATATATATATGCACACCCATTCTCAACTTTAGATATGGGGAATTAGGTGTATATATATATATTATGAAAGTTGTCTAGCTAGCTATCTATCTATCTATCTTTCTATCTATCTATCTATCTATATCTATCTATCTATCTATCTATCCATCTTTCTATCTATCTGTCTATCTATCTATATCTTTCTATCTATCTATCTCTATCTCTATCTCTATCTATCTCTATCTATCTCTATCTATCTCTATCTATCTCTATCTATCTCTATCTATCTATCTGTCTGTCTGTCTATCTATCTATCAAAGTATGCATCGATCTGTCTATCTATTTTTCGAATCTATCTAATCTATCTAATTTATCTAATCTGATCTAATCTAACCTTACCTAATCTAATCTAATCTAATCTATCTAATTTATCTAATCTATCTAATCGATCTAATTTATCTAATCTATCTAATCTATCTAACCTATATACCTAATTTACCTAATCTATCTAATCTAACCGATCTAATCGATCTAATCTAATCTAACCTAACCTAATCTAATCTAATCTAATCTTTCTAATCTTTCTAAACTACCTAATCTATCTAATCTATCTAATCTTTCTATCTATCTATCTATCTATCCATCTATCTATCTATCTAATCTAATCGAATCGAATCGAATCGAATCTATAATCTATCTACCTATCTATCTACCTATCTATCTATCTATCTAGGTATCTATATAGCTAGCTAGCAGCTAGCTAGCTATCTATCTATCTGTCTATCTATCTATCTATCTCTATCTCTATCTCTCTCTATCTCTATCTCTATCTCTATCTCTATCTATCTATCTATCTATTTATCGAATAGTTGATTTGTTGATTTGTCGATCTGTCGATCCATCGATCTATCGATCTATCGATCTGTCGATCTTTCGATCTGTCGATCTATCGATCTATCTATATCTATGCATTCAACTTCCGATCTATCTATTTCTATGCATTCAACTTCCCAAGGCCCTAGGCTGGGAACCGGAACTGTGGTCCTGGCTGTGGTCACTGCTGAGTTGCCGTTGGCAATTAAACCAAGAGATTGTGTTTCGATTTTCCTCCGGTACAACCGGGTGGTACTCGTACTGGTGGCGAAATTGGGGATGGATGTTCATTTGGGTGTGCCTGAAAGTAGTGCAAAAAACGTGAACCCATGAAATACCAATCTAACGGGGAAACGGATGATAAACCATCACATTAGTTTATGTTTCGACTCTACTTATTTAACTGCCTTCGGCATGTTCCGCCGGCCACCACGGAAAGAACTCACCTGTAAGCTGTAAACAGCCCTTGCACAGGCCCAGAAGCAACATAGTTTTTGTGTACAACATGGTGTTTGTGGAAAACAGTTCTTTGTGTAAAAGAGGGTTTGGACGCAAAACATTGGTTTTGTTCCAACCACGGTTTAAGTTTAAACCAAAGCATGTGTCAACCAGGGTTTTGGAAAAGGCCACGTTGGAAAAGGCGTTGGAAAAGGCAATATTTAGAAAGGTTATGCCAGTGGTTAAAGTACTGGATATAAGAAGCGACGGAGCAAACCGATGGCAAACGCAACCAAAAAAAAGGAAACAACCATCGAAATGACAGCAAGATGTGCAAAACCAAGGGCAGAGTTGAGCCCGCCACAACGTAAGGAAAGATAAAGGCGAAACGAAGAAGAGCTAGGTGTGGAGGGGGGGAGGAGGGCGGGGGTTCAAGTTAGACGAGGCAAAAATCCGCGCCAAGGGGAAAGTCTAGACAAAAACACAGACAAAACAGACAGTACAACTACGAAAAAACAAGATCCACAAGACACGCCGGCAGGCCGGCGGATTATATCTTTTATTTGGAGTTGTTTTGAAGAGTCTTGCCACTCCCAAATCGTCACATATTTTCTTGATGGCTTCAACAACCCTGGGCCGAAACGACGTGGACATCCAGAACCCAAGCTGACGGACTGCACCATCCCAAGCGGCCGCAGAACTGCTCAAAAAGATTGATTTCAATTACAGCCATTGCTGAAATTTGGGGAACACATGGCTTTGATACGGGATTTCACACGCAAAAACTTAAAACGGCTTACCAAACAACGATGGTGCTACAACTGGGGGTGGTTTCGATAGAGCCACATCAGCAAAAATGCATACCGGTGCCTGCGATATGAGTTTCCAGAATGTTCTCGCCTCCGAACAGGGTTTTGCATGCCACCTCAAAGAAAGTCACTAAAGATGATGGGGTATGGCCGTATGGCCTGGGATTGCGGTAAGCCGCTAGGGGATGATGTTGGGGAGCATCCAAAGAACTTAGCATACTGCTGTGCGAAAATGGAATATGCCCAATGCTCCAGAAAATTGGATGTCAAATACTTGTGGGAAACCATGACCAGACTTTGGCACCGTGATGGCACCGTACAACCCCAGGTCGTGGGCAGCGGCGCGGGCATGCTGAGGCTCGGCGCCGGGGCTTAGTCACCATGTAAACTGAGCCAAAAACTGGGTCAAAAATGGTCAAAAATTCAAGATGTCAAGGACAGAGATTTCAATTTTCAAGGATTTTCAAGGTCAGTTATAAGAAAGTCCCCAAGGAATTCTTTGGCGCCAGGTATAGAAGAAACATCATGATGCACGAGGAGTTTTTCAGCACTGTGGCTGTGGCAGGGCTGGGTGGCCCATGCAGGCTATGCCTATGGCCTTGCGCCCTATGGAAACCATGGAGACCTGAAACATCAAGAGGTGTTCGAGAGTTGATGTTTGATTGTTTCCATCATGTTCCATCATTTCCCATCATTTTCCATAATTTCCCATGTTTGATTGTTTCCATCATTGGCAATAATTTTCCATCATGTCCCATCATTTTCCATAATTTCCCATCATTTCCCATCATTTCCCTTTCTTTTCCATCAAAGTCACCTTCTATTGCCGGGCTGTTTGGCTCAGAGCGACAACTACCTTACGCGACTTTATCTGACTAGTGACTTTAAAGCTTCGATCCCAAAAACCGAGCGCATCACCCTTCGCTCGACCATGACACCACAGACGGAGCACATGCAGATTCTGGTGGCCAGCTCCTGCTACTGCTTTGCGTCAGTCGGAATGCTGTTGTTCAACAAGTTTGCTGTCCAAGACTTCCCACTGGAGCCTGGGGGTGTCAACGGATAATGACTATATAATGACACTAATGACTGACTAATGAATCTAATGAACATGAGCTTGCAAAAGCCCATATGTGCCATGGTCATGGCTTGATAAATTGCCCATATTCTGGGATTATCATCAATCCATGATATGGGTTTATGTACATAATGATTTGACCATGGCACGTATGTCTTACCCTTTGCAACGTATGACCCCCAGCCCCACAAAAAGACAGTCAGAAGGAGTGCTGCTTGGTGTGGGCGCAGCTTTTTTTTGCGGCAACTTGCTTGAGCCTTTTCGCTTTTCCCTACATTCATGTGGGCTCTGCCAAGGACGGAGGTCTCGATCGTTCTTTTTTGTGTTCGCTTTTCTTCGTTTAAAGGTCACCTTTTTTCAATGGCCATTTCAGGTACATAAATTGGAGGTACCTACCATATGTAAGGCCTATGTAAGGGCTATGTAAGGGAATATCCCCACAAAATATGGCCTTATATGGTACAGTACCTCCATTTTGGATCCTGAAATTCCCATTGTTTTTTTGCGTTCATTTTTTTTTAAACCCAAGGATGAGCCAATGCTTGTACCTGTTTTTTCGTTTGGAATCAGGTGTAGTGTAACCAGCAACACTATAGACATTAATGTCTTTGAATGGCTTAGGCTTTGCCCCATGAGTGATGAAGCCATACCTATAAGAAACCTCCAACAGGACCTGCTGCGCTGGTGCATGGTGGTGCCCTTCTACTGTGGCATGCTATTGACCTCCATCTTAGCCTTGAAACCTGGTGAGAAGTACACCATAACTTTATACGACTTTTGGGAAGCTTGGGGAAGCAACATGGTGGGAAAATCACCAGATGATCATGAATGACAATATCAGTGGTATCTTACAGAGAAGCCTGCCAGCACCCAGGAAAACGGCACCCATGTCTCTGGTCATCGTCCTTCGGAACAGCAGTCCCTTGGGCACGTTGCTCATTGAACGCTTCTACCCCGAACCCTTGAGGATCAGTGGCTTCATGTTGGGCTCCATCTTCCTGATGATTGCAGGTGGGTGCCATGAAATACCTGAAAAAAAACAACAACAGATCAAAACGGTTCAATTAGGATGGGCCTGGTGTCCATCAGGATATGTTGGATCCAGTTTCACCTATGGGATCGGAAAGGGATGATATTTCCATATCTTTCCAAGGGATTTGTAACTCCGGGGACGCCCAACCTTAGTCACCACTGCTTTCAGCCCAAAAGCTTGGTATTTTCAACGGGCATTTCTGCCACAAACGGATAGAAACGGAGGGAATCATTTCATCTCCAGCGTTCAACAATGCTCAAACCCTAGGTTTATTTGATTTAATTTAGACTATTCGATTTTTCGTATTTGAATTCATATGAATTCATAGGATTCAAATTGATTGAATATAATTTGGGTAAAACAATTACATAAACCATCCCCCAAATCATTATGTTTATGGGTGGTATGGTTACCATTCCCAGTCATGGGTGGTTTATGACTTTGTTTTACCATGTTCTACCCACATGAATGAAACTCAAAGAGCCATCCCAATTTTCGCGCAAAAAAAGGTGCTGTGATGTATGTGACCCAGCTTCCCTCTGAGAACTGGCAGGGCATTGGTTGGGTCTTTCTGAACAGCGTCATCGCAGTGGTGGATCGCTTGCTACAGCGCTTGCTGCTGTCCAAGGACGAAGTGAGTTTTCAGTGGCTGAACACAGGTGCCAAAGCATGGTGAAACCCAGCAAAAATGAGGAAATACATGGGGAATACATGGGGATAAAAAGTGGAGATACTATGCTAAAATGGTGGTGAATCAGGGTTGCTCTCGTTGCTGCAACCCATTATATGTAAATGATAGCCACAAAGGAAACAAATTGGTAGTTTTGGCTCTAAATCTTGCAATATTCCTGCTTTGTATGTGGGGTTTTGGTTGATGAGTATTGATTAGTGAGGGGAACCACCCACAATGATTTGATTTATGATTTACGCATTTGGATCGAATTTGCCCAGATTCCCCCCAAGCAATATGAGTTGGTCCGAGAAAAAGCAAGCAAATTTACCACAAAGAGATAGTTGTTTGAAATTGGAACTAATAGTGATGAGAGACCATTTTTCAGCAAAACACAACCCGAGAATCGCCCATGTGAAGAGGAAAGACTTGTCCTCCAACCCCCATACAGCCCGAGCGCTGGTTAAGAATCCGAAAGCTTGAGGCCCAGGGCCCTCAAATTCTTATTTTTAAATGCAAGCAAATTTACCCCACCATAGGCCGAGGGTCCCTCAAATTCTTAAGGCATTTTTAGTTATTATATATTTTTTTTTGCATGCATCTGCACAATTTGGAGCGAGCTTAAACGAGGTAAGGAGGTGGAGTTGGCAGATTTGACAAGAGGCATGCGAAAAAAATGAATATTTAGAGCCTGAAAAAATGTTTTCTGCAAAGCTGGGCTTGTCTGAGTTTCATGAGAGCAGTGCGGAAAAAAATACAGCTTGAAAACATGTTTTTTTTTGCAAGGCCAGGCTTGTCTGAATTTCATAAGATTAGTGTGCAAAAAAAAAAGTCTGATTTTTTTTCAAAGCCGAGCTTCTCTGAGTTTCGTGAAAAAATTTTTTCCGCAGCTGCAACCCATGCTAAACCCAGCCCTTTGCAGCCAAGGCAAAGAGAGAGACTCAGAAGGAAAACTTCCTTGAAGGCAAGGTTCCTGTAGGATAATGGTGAGAGTGTCAGACCTCAACTTTGAAGGTCGGAGGATCAATACCCAGTGGTGGACTTTTCCGGGCACGGCTCTTTTCTCCGAGTTATTGGGCCATGCACTGTTTCAGGTCCCCAAGTCTACCCACATATTGAGTTTGCATGGATTGGAAGCCTTCCAAGCAAGTGCGAAAAAAAACAATTTTTCGGAGCTTGAAAAATTGTTTTTCTGCAAAGCCCGACTTCATCCCAAAAGACCACAAGGGGTCACGCCACACAAGAAATGAACCGCAAAGGGGAATTATGCAAACCTCACGTATAAGCAGTAATTTAAGAATTTGGCAATCCTTTTCCACTGTCCCTCAAATTCTTAAAGTACTATGTGTTTGGTATAGCTTAAAATATGTAGCCCGCCTTGGATTCGCGCCCCTCAAATTCTTATACAGTGAATTCTTGTACAATAGTCAAGCTGTATTTAATCCATGCTAGATATGTTAGTTGGATTTTTCACCGTCCCTAAGTGGCAATGGAATTATCCATGATATTCCATGATTATGCCAATAACCCACTAATAATCGCGGAAACAATTGATGGTGATGCCGTAGACCATGTATATATATATATATATATATTTATTTATTTATTTATTTATCTATGTATTTATTTATTTATATTATTATATTACATCATATATATATATATATGGAGGTCTTCCGCCATGAGTTCAGGTCATTTCCCCAGCGAAACATGGGTTTACTGGAGGGTCAACAGATTTTTGTCCGCCGCATCCCATACTCAGAAGTGACTAGTGATCGCAATCAGAGGAGCAGTGCCCTGTGGATATCTCCAAGACGGGGATCACCTTGATCAACAATTTGGTGGGAATGTTGCCTGTGGGCCTGGCTGCCTATGCCAAGGGAGAGACTTGGTGCCAGGTGGCTATGGGGTTCCAAGGGTGGACCGAGAAAAAACGCTGGGGATACCAGAGCTTTTATTGGTGGCAGGTAGTTTCGCCTCCAAAAGCGTGCAAAATCTTGAATTGTCAGTTGTCATCAGATTTTGCCTGCAAAATCATGCATTGGCATGTCCTGCCTTTTTTTCCTTAACAGAACACCATGGGTTAATTTCCCGAGAGCGCCTGCGAAGGGTTCTTCGTAAAAAAGCAGCCGTTATACTACATCTTCACACCTTCACATCTGCTGATCTACATCTTCACACCCTCACACCTGCAGATCTAGATCTTCACACCTTCACACCTGCAGATCTAGATCTTCACACCTTCTGCAGATCTATCTGGACATCTAGATCTTCATACCTTCACACCTGCAGATCTAGATCTTCACCCTCACACCTGCAGATCTAGATCTTCACACCCTCACATCTGCAGATCTAGATCTTCACACCTTCACATCTGCAGATCTAGATCTTCACACCCTCACACCTGCAGATCTAGATCTTCACACCCTCACACCTGCAGATCTAGATCTTCACACCCTCACATCTGCAGATCTACATCATCACATCCTCACATCTGCAGATCTACATCTTCACACCCTCACATCTGCAGATCTTCATACCTTCACCCCTGCAGATCTAGATCTTCACCCTCACACCTGCAGATCTAGAGCTTCACACCCTCACATCTGCAGATCTACATCTTCACA